AAGCTGCTTGCCTATTACAGATTCAGTCTTCCCAGCCTGGTGCAGGGCTACAATTTTGTTTCTGGTGTCCTTTGACAGCTCTTTGGTCTTGGCCATAGAGGACTTTGGAGTGTGACTGTTTGAGGTTGTGGACAGGGGTCTTTTATACTGACAACAAAGTCAAACAGGTGCCATTACTACAGGTAACGAGTGGAGGACAGAGGAGCCTCTTAAAGAAGTAGTTACAGGTCTGTGAGAGCCAGACATCTTGCTTGTTTGTAGGTGACCAAATACTTATTTTCCACCATGATTTGCAAATAAATTCTTTAAAAATCAGACAATGTGATTTTCTGGATTTTTTTTCTCATTTTGTCTCTCATAGTTGAGGTATACCTATGATGAAAATTACAGGCCTCTCTCATCTTTTTAAGTGGGAGAACTTGCACAATTGGTGGCTGACTAAATACTTTTTTGCCCCACTGTAGATGTTATACCTATGATGAAAATTACAGGCCTCTCTCATCTTTTTAAGTGGGAGAACTTGCACAATTGGTGGCTGACTAAATACTTTTTTGCCCCACTGTAGATGTCCTGACTGGGTGCCATAGATTACCTGCTCCCCGTGAAGTTGGCTAATCCCCTTTTTGCTTCAGCCAAGTTGATGCTGCCTTTATATCCTTGCTCTGGCAGAGAGAGAAGAAATGTGTTTTTCACATTCACAGCCAGTGGGTGGGTTCAGTGAGGCCTCTGCTTGTCTCCTCTGTGTTTCCCTGCCTTCGAGCATTGCCAGGGGGAGCTCTGCAGGATGCCACAGCTCCGGGCCACTCACGTCCCACAAACGTCTCTTCTTCCTTGACCAGGAACTGGGCAAGTAGGGAGGCAGCCACCGGCCACAGGTCCACCAGCTGACCCTTTGCCGAGCAAGCCAGCACCACAGAGCGGGGGTCCAGAGGCAGGTAAGGGACCTGCTGGTCCAGAGACAAAGGGGCCTTTCGTAGGACGCTGCTGGAGCCGCAGGGGAAGCAGGGAGGCTCCTGTGCAGTGAGAGCAGAGTTGCTTCTCCCTCCGTTCGACCTTGCAGGGGATTCTGCTTCTGCCCTGTTAAAACCCAGAGGCGGAAGCATCGCCTAAGCGTTTACTGAGCGCTGGTCTCCAGCCTTTTCGCCAGGCCATCAGTCCGGCTTCACAGAAATTGGAGAGGGCCGCCCCATCAGGAGCCCCCTCCGGGGCATCGTTGCTGCTGCAGAGGGCTGTGTGCAGCCTTGCTGGGCAGCTGGCCGGAGGAAGCCCATGGCCATGCAGATGGCATGGGGCAGCCAGGAGGGCTGGGGCATGGCCCCGGAGCTGGCTCTTCCCTGTGAAACGAGGAGTGGCTGTAACAGACATGAGCCTTTCTGGAGGAGCCGGCCTCTGGACTTTCCACGGGAAGCCCGAGGGCAGGAAACAAAGCAGGCCAAAGAACTCGTGAATCGGTGGGAGGGGCATGCGCGTGGCACTGGATTGATTGCCAGAAGTTTCTCCCGATGCCTTGCTTGGCACTAAACACTGAGTTTGAGTCGTATCTTGTTGCCCACAAGCGTTTCCAATTCAGGGGTCTTTTGTTCAGCTCTTCCCGTTAGCAAGCAGGGGACGCATAGCTGACAAAGGGAGCTGACATGGAATTGAAACTGAAAAATAATTTTTCAGCCTTGTCAGGTCACAGCAGAGCTTAATTAATAATGAGGGATCCCGTCATCTCCAGAGCTTGCAGACAATTATCACAGGCAGAGACGTTAATTGCTACTAAACGAGGAGAGGCTGCTTTGTCTTGGCAGGTGACAGACAGCTCCATTCTTTTCAGGGGGACACCTTATTTTAAGGTATTCTAGGAGGGTGAATTAAGGGGGAAGTTGTGGAGCACGAATGTACATTTTGGGCCACTTGTGTAGGTTAGTGTGTTGCGGGATGTGGGGGTTCATGGCAACAGACCCACAAAGAGCCTTGCGGCACCTTCAAGAGTGGCACTTTCGCGGGCAAGAGTCCCTTCCCTCTAGTGCTGTGCCCGTGCCTGGGCTTCAGGGTGCCGTTCATTGCTTTGCTGCTTTTTAGTATTTTATGAGCAATGAATGTGGGTGTCTCTCCTCAGCCTAGGGCAAAAGGGGGGCCTGTTTCCTACGGATGTGTTTCTTCCTGGCCCCTTGCAGTACTTAGTCGTGCAGGCGGGGGCAGTGTTTGCTCACCCATGTTGCCAAGGAGTGCCAAGCCTGAATGGGGCCTTTGAGCAAGATGGGAGGAGCTGTTGGCTGTAGAATGACTCATCGCTGAAGAAGCAGGCTGATGTGCAGTTGTAGTAACAGCTGTATGCTCCTTCCCACCCCGTGTCTAGCACAGGAGATGGAGACCATCGCGGGCAGTGCCAGAGCAGGCGGCTTGAGGTGTTAGGCTGTGCCTGGCAGCAGCCCAGATGCCAGGTACTCTGATGTGGGCAACCTCGGGTATATTTTATTCCAGGAACCTTGACCAGATACCCTGGGCCTTCCAAACTGCTTGGGAACGCAGGTGGCTCCAGCATCCTGAACACTCCCGGTGGCTCTCAGGTCAAAGTGGTGCCCATCGCCAGCTTGAACCCTTACCAGTCCAAGTAAGTCGAGGAGCCACCCTGGCCACTAGCCTTCCCAAGCCCTTCTTCCTGCAGGATGTCGCGGGGCCCTTGTATCCGTCACTCCCAGCGGTGGTGGTGGTGGGATTATTTCCTGCGACGGGGCGGTGATTAATTTTAGAGAAGTGGACTTCAAAGGCTGCAGGCCGCCTAGGTTGCCGTGTGGCAAAAAGCCTGGCAAGGCTGCCCAGCCGCATTGTGTGGCCTTGGGTTGTCGGCCTTCCCAACAAAACAGAGTGCCTTTTCAGTTCTCTGTTGCTAACCAGTAGGTGTATCTGGCAGGCTTCCCGTGTCCGCGTTCCTCTCATTCTGAGAATTCTGTGTTCCTCCCGAGTCTTACATTTCCTGAAGCCAAGTTGCAGCGGTGGGGGTCTGACGGGGGGGCAGGAGGGAAGGATGGGAGTAGCCTGAGTGAACACACCAGCCCCTCTTGCGCCTTTTCTCTGTCTTGGGGGCTCCGTCTGGGGGCAGAAAGAAAGTGACGCAGAGAACAGCTGGCAAAGGGGCGGGCGGGCCTTGAGTCTCTTAAGGGCTCTGGGGCTTGGATGTGGCCTATTAATATACCGGAGGAGAAGTTGGCAGGGCAGGACCTGGGTCAGGTCCATCAGTTGAGTCCCAGGTGTTGCTGTGTCTTTCTAGGTGGACCATTTGTGCCCGGGTGACTCAGAAAGGCCAGATCCGCACATGGAGCAACTCACGTGGAGAAGGAAAGCTCTTCTCCGTGGAGATGGTTGATGAAAGTGTAAGTGCTGTGCTAATGCGGCTTCTCCCTCCGGAAACACCCAGGGGCTGTTCTGGGGACTAGGTTTTTCTAACTCCAAGAACCACAGACTTGCCAGCTGTTGGCCAGGTAGACTGCCGTTCCATAAATCTGCGGAAGCCAGGACTGATCCCAAGACGCGAGCCCCGGTGCCACTAGCTTACCTCAGCAACAGCAGAGGTCTCTGTGGGCACCAGCTGCCAGAGGGCACCTTCTCCTGGGTTCCTTTTGGCAACGCCCAGCTTGTCACCTGGGCAGAGGACTTGACTCAGTTGAGCTGCCTGCTGGAGGCATGGTGAGGGGCTTTGGGCTGAAGTGCCTCCTGCCCCTATCTGCCAGCTGATCCATAGCTGCCATCCTGCGTGGCCCTGCTTCCCCTCCGGAGTAAGAAAGACCCAGGTTTCTCTGAGTTCTCTGCCTGGCAAGGGCCCTTCACTCCGTTCCACGGGATCTGTTTATCTGAGGCATTTTCCTATAAATTTAGATTAAATCTTAAACTGGCCATCTATGGGGTTTTTTGGTTAGTTGGCTCTGCCAAAGAAAAAAATTAAAAGATCAGAAAGCATGGTCCTTTGGCTAAGTTCCCCTGAGAAGCAGAGGCTGGGAGAGCATCTCTTAATTAGAAAATAAATATGTGATTTGAAGAAATGTTCTCCTGCCAGTTTGTTTGGGGAGCACCAACTGGATTAGTCAAGTCCATCAATCAAACCTATGGAGCAGATGACAGACCCAAGCTGCATGGTGGCTGTTTGCTTTTCTGAGAGTACATCCAAAAATACGTTTAGGCCTGAAAGGTATAATTCTGAACTCCTGGCACATCTGCATCAGCCGCTCATTTCATTTCTCCTCTCTCTGCTGTCAGGGTTTTGACTGATGGTTTTTATTGCAGTTTTAATCCTCCTCTTGCATAAACATCTTAGCTGGTGGTACTTCAGCTCTGCTTTTAATTATCACTTCAGGAAGGGCCTGTCACAACACTCTGGTACTTCTGTTCCCTGTGTGATGTCATCCACTAATTTGTGGAGCAGGAGGCAGGTACTCGTGAACTGATAGGCAGAACGGCTTGTCATGGCCAGGGCATTGAGTGCTGCCCAGGCCTTGATTGGAGGCTCTGCGGGAGGGATTTGAGGAGGCTCCATCAATTACCTTAAAGTGAGGGGGACAATCCAGCTCAATCGTAATTTGATAAACAAAGGCTCCTGCTCCTTGAGAGGAACATTTTAATTTTTTCATTTCCTCTTAGAGTCCTTTTGATCCTGAAATCCTTAGCTCGCATTAGGTAACAACTCACAGCGTAGCCAGTAATATTGGTAGATGCTATGGACTGCTGATGTCTCGCAGCGGGTATTCCGTTTTTGTTGTGGGCCGGTGGTTTCGCTTGATCTTCTTCCACATGCTTCGGCCAAGTTTTCTTGGGAGTTGATCATTATACTTTACAACCCGTGGGCATGATTTCCAGAACGATCAGTAAGGAAGTCAACAGGCCATATAGCAGATGCGTTCAAACCACTGCACGTGAGGTTTCTGTTGGGATAAAGAGTCAGAATCGCCAGGAAGAGAGTTGCATTACCACCCATATGTCCTGGAAACCTTTTCTGAATGTTCTTCTGGTTGTTTTTTCCTCCAGGGTGAGATCAGAGCAACAGCCTTTAATGACCAAGTGGACAAGTTTTTCCCCCTCCTTGAGTTGAACAAGGTACGGTGCTGTTACTGTCTTGCTCAGCAGAGCAGCAGGCTCTGTAAGTGGGGCAGAGCAGAAGATCAGATGGTGCACTTGTTCATTTTTCTGTAGTAAGAGAGCTGTCCATAATGTAAGTTCTCTGGGCAACTTCACAGAACAAATACAATGGTACCTCGAGTTACGAACACCTCTGCTTACAAATTTTTCGTGTTACGACCAGCTCCGGCCCCAAAAATTTACCTAGTGTTGCGAACCACCTCGAGTTATGAACCGGATCCGCAGCCATTTTCCCTCCTGTGACACGTGGTCTGCAGCCATTTTCCCTCCCGTGACACGTGGTCCACGGCCATTTTCCGCCCCTGATGTGGTCCGCGGCCATTTTTCCGCCCCTGGCACGTGGTCCACAGCCATTTTTCCGCCCCTGACACGTGGTCCGCGGCCATTTTTCCGCCCGTGACTCTGCCTCCAAGCAATAGCCGCCTCCCTGTCCTCCACACCAGAACAGATTAACGGTTATTACATTGAACCTTATGGGAAAATTTGCCTCATGTTGCGACCAAT